GCTGCAATGCAGTCTCAACAAAAGCCTAACTGATCTCATGAGGAGCTCTGAAATTGGTGTCACCCTTTAGAGTTGTCAAACATTGGAATGAGAGTGCCAGGCCTTTACATGGATGCCTCAATAGCCATTGGATGCAGGATGCCCCTAAGAAGGGGGAGTAACTATGGGAAGGAGCTTTATTCAGCTGAGAGCTAGTCTTGGAGAGGACTGACAGCTGAGTATGGTCACAACACTTCCAGTATCTGGGGAATAAATAGTCCCTATCTTGAAGGGAGAGAGGATTTATCAGAGCATCCACTACAGGAGGCAAAGTGGAAGCTGGGAAACTAGTTAGAAGAAAGTGATTCAGAAAGGAGACAATGGTAGGTTATGCAACTAAGATGTTATAAATAGAAGTAGTGATATGTTCATTTTCTGAATTTATTTTGTAAAGAGAACCAGCAATATATACTGATATATTGATGTGGAATTACCAGGAACCAAGACAAAAACAATATAAGTCCATCAATTTTGGCCTATGTCATGAGAAATATGTACAATTATATGCTGAAGTGAGAAAAAATGTGTGTGTGTGTGGGAAGGGGGGGCGGCAGTGGAGAACAGTTTCAGGAGAAAGACAAATAATTCAATTTCAGATGATTTAAGTTTTCGTTATCTATGAGATATCTAAATGAAGATATTAGTTGGATATATGAGTGTATTACCCAGGGAAGCCATCCAGGCTGGGTAATTAAATTTGGAATTCATTGGCTTATACATATACATGCTATTTAAAACTATGGGGCTAGATGAGATTATCCAAAGAGTGACTTCTGGGGTATTTCAAAGCTTAAGGGTCAGATGGCACAAGGCAGAGAGAGAAGGGATGTTCTACCATGCATAAGGCCTATTCATTTCTCCTGAATATCTAATTATGTCAAACATTCTCACTTAGGTGCTAGATTATTTTTCAATATTTGGAAGCTTTGGGTTTACTTGAATTAAGGAGGCTTACTGGTGTTCTTTTAACAAGGATGATATATCCCAAGGAGAGAAGAATCTACAAGCAGTAATCACAGGAGTAGAAGCAATCCAGATGAGGCCAATACAGATATCTGGTACAGATGAGGCCAAAGTTAGGCTGTGATGGAATCTCATGCATTTTTGATGAGAGGTCAGAAATCACTTAAAATATCGTACACTCATTTCTGAGTCTGTGAATTGGGATAGCCCTGATTGAGATCTCTGGACTCACCTATCACCCTGGAGACAGGGATCCAAACTCTTGACGATTCCCATCTTCCAAGAAAAAACACCCTCCAGGGCCACGACAGAGTGAGTCTCAATGTTGGTCACTTGAAATAATAAACAGGAAACAGCAGCTAAGAGTGAGATGTCCCTGGGAATGGCCTGAGACATTTCCCCATGCAGCCTATATTCAGCATGTAACCTTGCACCCTCTCCTTCTTCACTCACCACCAGTGTACCTTGTGAAGGTGTCATGTTCATGAGACTCTCACCCACCTTGAGAATAGGGTCCAAGTCTTCTTTATCCTGATGTCTCCCAAAGCTTAGCATAGTGCCTGGCACGCAACAGGTGTTTATTAAGATAAATAAATGGGATTTCTAGTACCTTCATTTATCAAGCATAAGGCATGATGAACAGACAAATGGACACCCAGTAGCCTGGGCAGGTGGATCTATTTAATTCCATGTTTCTTGGCAAACTTTGTGGGCTACTCAATTTTTCTCAAATTTGTTTTGCATGTCAGGAAGAGAGACTATTTGTTCTGCATCATTTATTTAAAAAGCAATATCTTAAGAGCCTTTGGCTGGAAGGTACTGCAGCAATATCTGTTTAGTAAGAAGGGTGAAGGATGCCTTACTTCAGCCATCAATGATGCCAGATTTTAAAGATAATTTTAGATTATATATTTTTGTTGCAAATTTTGATAAACTATTTTTTTTGAAAAAGATAACTCAACAGAGTAGTTTGTGCTCCTTTGTTGAAGAGGGATCATTAAAAGTTTGTGTTTAGAAAATACTTCAGGGTCTTGGGCAGACCCTAGGTGACCTTTTAATCAATAGGAAAAGTGGTTGTAATTGGAGGATAGACTCTCCTCACCTCCCTCCATCTGTATAAGTAACTTACTTGTTCTTCATCATTCCAGATCCCAGATCGGGGCCTGTTTTTGTTTTTGACCAGGCACCATCATTTTCTATTCAAATGAGGATGGTTTCTATAGAAATTGTCCTAAATACATCTGCTTTTTGAGGCTATATGTAGTTACTCACCAGATGGCTGATGCATGCTGTTATAATGCATGACTATAAGTGTGTTTTTTAAAGTAAAAATTATAACTTTTATCAATATAATAGCCTCTAATTGGTTATTAATTAACTAGATGCCTGGTGCATGAATTTGTGAACTAATGGGGTCCCTCAGCCTGGCCTGAGGGATCGGGCCGAAACTGACTCTCCAACATCCCTCAAGGGGTTCTGGGTTCCGAGAGTGTACAGGCCAGGCTGAGGGACCTCACTGGTGCACAATCAGGGCTGGGGAGGGATGCGGGAGGTTGGCCAGCTGGAAGGAACTGCGGGAGGGCTCTGGGGCATGTCCAGCTCATTTCACTCAGTCCTGATCGACTGGACCCCAGCAGCAAGTGCCTGTGCCTTGGGCCAGTCCTGGGTGGCTGGGCAGCCGACATCTGAGGCTTGCCTTCACCTCGGGTGTTGGTTGGGCAGCTGCTATCCGAGGCTTGCCTGTGCCTCGGGCCGGCCCTGGGCAGCTGGGGGGCTTAGGGGACTGGGCACCACCATCTTGTGGCTGTGGGCGCTGCCATCTTTGAGGGAAGGACAGTCAATTAGCATATTCCCTCCTTATTGGCTGTGGGCGCCACCATCTTTGCGATGGTGTGAGGGTCAATTAGCATATTCCCTCTTTATTAGATAGGATATAATAGTAATTAGATATATAATAGAGAATATGTATAATAGAATATATATAATCTTCATTTCTATTCCCCACTGAGTAAATTAAAACATCTTAATTCAAGATTTTTGATGATCAAGACTTAATCTTCTAGTCTTATTTTCCTTTATTCTCATTTATGTTACTTACCAAACTGAATAGCAACAGCACTAACAGGAGTGACTCATATTAAGCATTTGCTGGCACAGAGGTAAGGCTTTACATGCTGCATTTTACTGTTATCCTCACAAGAGTCCTGTGAAAGTTTTATCCAAATTTCACAGGTGAGAGGACAGAGACTTCTGGAGGTTTAGCAGCTTCCCTGGTCCCACAGCCAGTACACAACTGACTCCAGGGTCCCGTCCTCTTAGACTACACCTGCTGCTCCCTGCAGTTCTGATCCATGCCTTCATGCAGGCTTTCCTCTCTGCATGAAATTAGTGCTATTCTTTCCCATCTTTATAGCTCCCTATTCCCCCATGTTTCTAAGAGTAGCCCAAGTGCTGCTTTCTCCTTGAATTCCTCTGGATGGCTGTGCTTGCACCATGCTGAAAAATTCTTACAAGTCTTTACTACTCCACGAGCCACAGACCAGCAGCAGGGCATCAAATGGAAATGCAGAACCTGAGGCCCTACTCCAGATGTCCTCAATCAGAAACTGCATTTTTGTAAGATCTTTGGGCAGTTTATGTGCAAAGTTTAAAAACTGCAGTATGGGACTTTACTTCTTCCTTCCTTCCTTCCTTCCTTCCTTCCTTCCTTCCTTCCTTTCTCTCTCTCTCTCTCTCTCTCTCTCTCTCTCTCTCTCTCTTTTTCTCTTTCTTTCTTCCTCCTCCTCCCCCTCCTCCTCTTCCTCCTTTTCCTCCTCCTTCTCTTCTTCCTTCTCCTTCTCCTTCTCCATCTCCTCCTCCTTTTCTTTATACCTCTGTTATTTGTATACCTGTTGTATATTATCAATTGAGCTGTAAGGTCTTTGAGGGCAGGAGGATATTATATTCTCTTTTGAATATATAAAATATACTCATAAATATACATTACATAGAAAAGGCACATAATTTGTTTGGTGATATAACAGAAGTTATATTTAAAAGTTCACATCATTTTTTTAGGTCCAAAGTCCTGTGTTATTTGGAATATTTCTTCCAGTGTGCTAACAGAGTCACTTTGACAATTAATTTACTTTTAATATTTCCACAAATTCAGGCTTTTGATAACATCGAAAATGTTAAGAGGCATAATCTAGATCCTTAAAAAAAAGCTTTCATTCTTTCCCATATCCTTTGGTCTATAACCAGCGCTTGGGACACAACATCTTTCATTGCCAGGGTAAAAATATAGATATTACAGATTTGGAGTAAAATCAATACTTAGAAAATAGAAATACTGAAAGCTGAGGACTTCAATCAATTTCACGTGTGAAGTTTTGAAGTTTGTCTTCATTCAGGCCACTCACAGTCTCCTAAGAACATTGGAATGGAATTTTGTTTTGACAGATGTTTGATTCCAAGCTTTATTTTATAGCTAATTTGTTGAAGAGCAAAACCTCAGTCACTGCAGATGCTCCTATATCGTCCTTGCTACTTATATGCCAACGACTGATAATTCAAGCTATTGATTTTTTTTGAAATGATCACTGTATGTTTTCTAGTTTTTTATTTAGACACAGTGTTTGCATATATTTGTACCTTTAAGTGTTCTCAGGAAGTGTGACCAACTGATCACTGAGACTGGCAGATGCTCAGCCCTTCAATCAGCTTCTTGTTGCTGTACAATCTGGCGTCTCTTCTTTCTGCAGAATATGTAATTGGAATACATGCGGGAAAAGAGGGCAAACACATATCGGTGGCTTTTTTATCTTCTGCTGGCTCCATTTCAGCATTCGGTATGACCTCTCAGAAAGTTACAAACCTAAAAATTGTCTACACATAAATCTCCCCTTTGGAGCTGACAAAATTCTCCAATTCAGAGAGGATACCTCTTTTCAGATTTATTTTTTTTCCTGTGTGAGTGTGTGTGTTGCTTCAGTGAGAGGCTCCCTTCCCACCTCATCATTGGTTTGCTCACTCCCTTATGTGATGAGTCAATGCTTCCAGAATAGGGGCTTCCGAGTGACTGCGGGAACTATTACTTCCAAATGAGCTCGTGCATCTTAACAGGGAGCGTTCAGACCACACCCCAGGTAAAAGGAAGTCTTTCCTTAATGCTTTCAAGAACTTTTAAAGGCTGTGTACGATGGTATTTGCTGCAAAAGGGCTTGAGGGAGAGCTGCCTGGGTGTAGATAAATTTGACTGTGTATCAAAGAGAAATGTTATCTGCAGTTACTGTAAAGGCAGACTGCTTACTGGGGAACCAAAGAAAATGCTCAGGACGGCCCTTGGCGTAGTGTCATTGCTAAGACACCCTGTAATGTCTGTTTTCAACAGGAGGCTAGTGGCCATCTGTGAGTGTGGGTGTCAACACTGGAAGAAGAGAACTTTTAGGGAAATAAAAGAAACGAAGGCATTGCAGCCCGAAACTGAGCAAAGGAGCAGTTAGCTGTCATGTCCTGGGGGGGAAAACAATTTCTTAAATTCTTTGGCTGTCTGGTGAGAAGGTGACAGGCTCAGAAGTTTTGAGTGCTTGAAACCATTTAGAAAAAGATTTTAATCCTCCCAGCTCTAATTTCTATTATTAAAATAGTTTCCCAAGGATAGGAATGAAGACGTGATTTTAAACGGCACTGACAACTGAAAGTGTTAACTGGCATTTAACGAATGCAATGGTATTAACATGCATCTGTTTCTGCTTTGTGTGGAAAATGATTTTTCATCACCATAGCGATTCATTTCTGAGCTCCAATGGAACTTGGCCACAGTATGTGGTAAATAGCAATTTTTTTAATTTTATTTCCTGAAGAAGGGATTTAGCAGTCTACCAGCTAGTCTAACACGTGACTCTTCATCTAAATGTAGCTGCTGTAATGTCAAATCCCTTTCCAAATGAATTCTGTACAAAAAATTTTGTACATCCTTGGTAAGATAAGAGGATGCTAGGTAAAGGCAGAGAACAGAGCCCCATGCTAACACTGTACTCCCAACTTAAAAGCCAATACCAAACCATCGCCCTTTTTGTGGTTGCTCTTCTGAGGAATGTGTATGGATAGGAATTTTCCCCTGATCTTGTTCTCTAACAGTAACCTAGGAAGATAAATGAGTCTTTAGTCCTATTAGATTTTCTGTTTTAATGTTATTCTTGAATGACATGTATTGGTTCAACTAAAATTTAAAAAAGTATTCTTCTACAACTGGTACAGAAATTTTATGTAGGAGAGGGATACTTTTATAAGAAAATATAACAAATGAAGTATAAGAAAAGAATTTTGCTTCTTTTCAGTTGCTTTCATTGTCAACATGGGATTATGTCCAGACATTCCTTTGATGGTGTTGTTATAAAAGCACACTTTATTCATTGAAGCATCAGTTTTCGTTTTCTTTTCTTTTTAAAAAAAATTCTTTTCTTCTTTTTAAAAAATCTTTATTGTTGAAAGTATTACATAGGTCCTCCTTTTCCCCCCATTAACGTCTTTCAGGCCCCTTCCATTCTCCCCACTCCCCAGGCCCTTACCACCTCACTCTCTGTGTCCACAGATTATGCATACATGCCTACAAGTTTAGTGGTTGAACTCTTCCCACTCACCCTCCCCTGCCTTCCCTCTGAGGTTCAACAGTCTGTTCAGAAGCATCAGTTTTCATTCACACTAGTGGAGATCTGTGTATTTTATCGAATATTAAATTATACAACTTGTGCAAGGGTTTTGGAGATGTAAATTTTCATTATTTATATGCTTTCGAAGGCAAAAGCACTTACTTTTACTAATGGTTATATGTATTTCATAACATATGAAATGCTTATACTGAATGGGGTGCTTATACTGAAGACTGTACTACATTAGTATTTAAGTTTCATTTGGATGGAACCAAAAATACACCTATAGTCACCATATAGGAGCATGAGGGAGGCCTACAGAACCTGGGGACAAAATCACATTGTCACCTCTTCTTTGACTTCTAAATGACAGTCTCTGATGAACTATCTGAACAACCTAAGTGATTTCTTTGCTAAAGCCACTCTCCATCCATCATGGTATTGATGAAATTAAATGTGTCAAGAAACCTTTCTAGAAAATCCATGTAGAACGTGTGTTGCATTATGTATTGCTGATAAGACTAGTGGGCTTCCCAAATCTCACAAAAGATCTAATGTTTCTTCCTACAAAGGAAAGCACTGATTTTTCTATTTTCTGATGATAAGCTGCAAACTGGGAGTTGTAACATGATTGCAATCATGGAATAATGATAAATATCATTCAAGGCTAAAAAGAATATTAAAAAAATAAAAGTTGGCTCAGGAGGTTTTATCTGTGTATGTTATACCCCCTAAGGATTATGAATTGTTTTTTATAAGGCATAGATGTTTTAGTTTTTTAATTACCAGAAAGGTATACCCTATAATAAGTGGTCCAGACTTAGTTTGTTAAGCCTGTAACTTCAGCAAAATTTCCTACAAGGAAATCCAGTCCTCTTTGTTTGATCTCATGTCCACAAAGGAAATATTCAGGTAATAATCTAGGGTCCAAGATAGCCTGTTCCAGGTACCCTCTAGTCCAGTGGTTCTCAACCTTCCTAATGCCGCGACCCTTTAATACAGTTCCTCATGTTGTGGTGACCCCCAATTTCATTGTTACAAGTTGAACATAATTAAAGCATAGTGATTAATCACAAAAACAATATGTAATTATATATGGTCTTAGGCGACCCCTGTGAAAGGGTCGTTCGACCCCCAAAGGGGTCGTGACCCACAGGTTGAGAACCGCTGCTCTAGTCTAACCTCAGTCTCACATTGAGCCACCATGCTATCTGTCTTTCTCTTCAGCCCAGTCTTTCTGTTATCCAGCATGTCTGTTGTTTTCAGAAGGATGACCTTGTTGACATTCTTGTGTCACAATTCCTTAACCTTCACAATCTCAGTGTCCTTCCTGCTTTTTCATCTCAGATACTCAATCTCAAGGCCAAAGCCTGGACCTCATAATCACCTAGAATTATTATACTTCTAAATCTTAAACTCTCACAACCATGCTATGACCCTAAGCCTTCTAGTGCCTTGAATCTGTTCCTCCTCTTTACCCATTTAAACTAACTCTGTCCACGGTGGATCATTTGCTCTACTCTCATTAGTACTCTCAATTTCCTTGTACTCACAACCTTCTGCTAAAACCAAATCCAAATGTCAATTCTCTAAATGCTACAACTCATTTTCTCTGTTCCTTTGATAGGCAGTTGAGCATCCCCGGAGAGAATATAAAAAAGCTAAGCAAATTGCTTTACTACATCTCATAGATTTATATTTGGGCTGGGCCCTCAGTATAATCTATCAATCCTTCTGTTTATTTATGGTTAGTCCTCTTTTCTATTGCTGTCAATGATATTCCAGGCTTTCCTAGTTTCTTTAAAATCCCATGTTGCCCTAGCCAGTTTGGCTCAGTGGATAGAGTGTGGGCCTGTGGACTGAAGGGTCCTTGGATCAGTGCCTGTCAAGGGCATGTACCTCAGTTGCAGGCTTGATCCCTGGCTCTGGTTGGGGGCCTGTGCAGGAGGCAACCAATCGATGTGTGTCTCGCACATCAATGTTTCTCTCTCTCACTGTCTCTCCTCCTCCCTTCCACTCTCTAAAAATCAATGGAAAAATGTCCTTGAGTGAACATTAACAAAAATAAAATAAAATAAAATCCCATTTTGCCTTTACTAGTTCTTCCTTTGCTGCTTGGTCACTTAATAGTAGAGTCTGGAAGGTTCAACCGTGGATCTCTTTTTTTCCTGTTTGTGGAATTGCATCTAGTCTCATGGTTTTAAATACTATGTATAGGTTAACAACCCTAGTAATTTAATCTCCAGCACAGACTTTCCTCTAAACTTGACTCCCTATACATATTCTACTTGGATGTATATTTCAAATTTGATTTTTATTCTCAAACAAACTTTACCTATTGTTTTTGCCATCTAGTGAATAATAACTCATGTTTTAAGAAATTACTGACATCAAAAATGTTGGCCTGGTCTTGACTCTTGTCTATCTCTTATATCCTACATCTAACTTTTCAGCAATTTTTAAGATTTTCCTTTAAAATATAGCCAGAAACTTACACTTCTGATAACTATTACTGCAGCAACCTGAGTGCAAGCTACCATTTTCTCTCCCATGGGTGACTGCAATAGCCTTATAGCTAGTCTTCATAGCTTATAACTATTGGAGATACTATATATTTTACAGATTTTTTTTTACTCTTCTGTTCACTAGAATGTAAATTCCATTAGGGTAGAGATTTTTGTTCACTGTGATATTACCAATCCTACAGTAGTACCTCACAGTGAATAGGCATTTGATAAGACCCTGTTCAATAAATGAAAGTAAGTATAAGTAAGTGAAATGTTCAAGTGAGGATTGTTTTTAGTAGGAACATAGTATCAGGACTGAAGGCCACATAAAATGACAAAGATGTAGGTGAGTGAATAGATGTGTGATGGGGACCTTGGAAAATCTTCTCTGATTGCTTTCATTATCTTAATGGAATGAGAAACAAAGTCATCAGCTCAGAGTGAGACTATGGGAGATGTTGGGGGTTTGAAGAAAGAAAAAAAGATGTGAATTTTCTAGGCAAGTGGAAGAGTGAATGGGCTGTGGAACCATAGTATGATTACAGAGCAGCACCGAAGGGCCTGCTTGAGGCTCAGAGTCATAAATTTGAAGTGAAACCAGTAAGCACAGTCATGTGATTTTCCATAACCACATTCACCGCTGTGGTCCATGGGGGCATGGGGGCAGATTTAGTGAGGACTGTGATTTACCCACACAGGGATGACAGTGTGAGAGAGGTAAGACGTGTAAGGGGTATGCAGGGCAGTAGTTGTGGTAAATGCAGTCATGTGATAAATGCATGCTGATTATAAAGAAGAAGTATGAGAAAACATAATGTTGGAAGAATCAGTAGCATTTCATTCTGTTGGGATCCCCGAAGTGTTGGAGTTGGAAAACTGGAGTGAGTGATACAGGAAGAAAAGAAGGGGTGGTCATAGAATGAAAAAAACAAAAATATGGAGGGACCGTTGCTTTTGGTCTAGTCTAGGAATGTGAGAGGCAAGGAGAGTAGAGGTCAAGGCAACACAATACTAGAAATATTATCCATGGAATCTATATATAAAAAGCTAGCCACCGTAAGTAATGCTGTAATGACCATAATGACTGGTTGCTATGACGCCCACTGTGGCCAGTGAACGGGCTGGATCAGAGGGTGGGGCTGGCCGGCCAACCTTGCAGCCCCTCCCCCCTGATCAACGGTGGGCCACTGGCCAAACACACCTTCCCCTTCCCCTTGGCCGGCCCCACCCCTGACCGCACCCCCTACCCCAATAGGGGGCGGAGCCAGCCAGCCAACCTCCTGCAGCCCCTCCCCCAGCTGGCTCCATCCCCTATGAGCCCCTGCCACCATGATCAGCCCACAGCCCCTCCCCTTGGCTAGCCCCGCCCCTGATCGCACCCCCCAACCACTGGCCAAAACCTTCCCCTTCCCCTTGGCCGGCCCCACCCCTGACCGCACCCCCTACCCCAATAGGGGGCGGAGCCAGCCAGCCAACCTCCTGCAGCCCCTCCCCCAGCTGGCTCCATCCCCTATGAGCCCCTGCCACTCTGATCAGCCCACAGCCCCTCCCCTTGGCCAGCCCCGCCTCTGATAGCACCCCCCACCCCATTAGGGGGCGGGGCTGGCTGGCCAACCTCCTGCAGCCCCTTCCCCCACCTGGCCCCACCCCAGATCGGCCCCCCACCATGATCAGGGGCAGGGCCAGCTGGCCAACCACCCACGGCCCCTCCCCTAGACCCCTCAATCAGCCCCCCAACCCCAATCAGGGGCGAGGCCCGCTGGCCAATCACCTGTAGCTCCTTCTCCCAGCTGGCCCGGCCCTGATTGGACTCTGATGGGGACAGGCTTGCTGGCCAACCTCCCGCTATCGCTATCTCTTCCTCTGGACAGGCCCAACCCCAATCCGCCCCAATTGGGGCCGGGCTGGCCAGACCCCACCTGTGCACGAATTCTTGCACTGGGTCTCTAGTATAAAATAATGAAAAGCATAGTGTAAGAGGTACTAGATTGAGCCAGGAACTTAATCTTTAAAGAAAAGAGTTTGATGTAGGTATGGACAGGTAACTATGACAAGGAGAAGTAGCGAGTGTTCTAGATAGATGACACAAGATTCAAAGCTGGAAATTTTTAGGTAAGAGTAAGGAAGAAGACTGGTCTGGAAGCATTAAAAAGGAGTAAAGAGCACACCTATTCTACTTCCATGTCAGTGTGAGAAGAAACAGCTACCACTGAGAGAGCTTCTTGGGAAGGAGAGTCCTTCAGAGGGAACCATGGTTTAGTGAGAGCTAGAATATTTAGGGAAGAAGTTAAGAGTATGAAGGGTTTTGTGATGGCTGACTGAATCCCAGACAGTGTACAGGAAAAGTATATCAAGAGTTGGAGCATGGTACAAGATGGGAACAAAACTAGGGTTGTGCATAGCATATAGAGATTGAGGGATGATGCAGAGGTCTGGATTTTCACAGGGACAGAAGGGATCAGAGTTAAAATCCATGTTGAGATAAGGTCCAACTTGCCCAAGGCATAGAAAGGTAGTACAGCTTGAATGGAACGGAAAGTAGGGATCTTGCCAAGGCATATCATTCATATATATATATATATGTATATATATTATTGATTTCAGAGAGGAAGGGAGAGGTAGAAACATTAATGATGAGAACCATTGATTGGTTGCCTCTTGCACGACTCCTACTGGGGATTAAGCCTGCAACCCGGACATGTGCCCTTGACTGGAATTGAACCCTGGACCCTTCAGTCCACAGGCCTATCCACTGAGCCAAACAAGCTAGGGCCATAATATCATATATTTTGTGACAGAGGCATGGAGGCAGCAAAGCAGCGGTGTCACTCTGACTCGATGGGGGTTGATTCTGTCATGTACATTGATTATATAAAAAATGATTTCCCCTCACCTTCCCACTTCCCCACTCCATCAGATGTATGAGCTTTTCTTTATCTTAATTCACTTTCTTTGGACTCCAAGGAGGCCATGTTCCTTTTTTTGTTTGTTTGTTTGTTTTTGTTTCTGTAACTTATTCTGCCTGCTCTCTCCAAGATCTTGCTCTGCTTTTATTTTCTACTGGTTCCTTCCTTCAGTCTACAGACATGTTCAAGTCTATCCCATTATAGACCAAAAGGCACCTTTATGACTCTGCTTCCCTGTCTAACTACTCTTAACCTTTCTCCTTACTTCTCATCCAAACTTCAAAAGAGAAATCGATCGTACCATCTTCTCTTTCTCCCTTTTCATTTAATCCTCAGTTGATTGCTGTTGGCTTTCTGTCCTTTCTCTAGTCTTTGTCTTTCAAAACCAGAATTATCTATTTAAAAATCTCGTGTGAATATGTCATTTCCCAATCTTTAAAGGTTCTCTGTTGACAATAAGTAGGACACAATGAAAGCTTGATCTACCCCCCACTGCTGCTTCTTCCCATGCTTTCTCTCTGCTGGTTGTCTCAGCCCAGGACCAATGAGGGGATAAGGACATATATGTAATACCTTAATCAATAAAGAAAAAAAAGGAAAAAAGAGAATGAATGAAAGATAAAATATATCCTTTAGCAGGCATTCACAGCCTGATAGCCAGAAAAGCATACTTCCAATTTTAAATCCACTTTTAGCATTCTCATTATTGATAAATGTTGTTTCTTGCATGCTTAGTGATTATGAGTCAAATTGAACCTGCTAAACCAGGGTTAAAAGGATAAAAGTCCATTTTGAAACAGACCAGAAGCTGAGTTTGTGAGGAACCCACCGAGGTAGAGATGCCCTATAATATTCTAGCACATCAACTTGCCACCTGTTGTTTTATTGTCATCCCCTACCACAGGATCTTCCTGATACACGATGACTATTTTTACAGCTGTTTTCTTTGGCACCCATATACATGATCACTGGACAATAAGAAATTTATTTAAAAAATGAGATAAATATCCTGGTGTATAGAGAAAAAGTCAAGATAAACCTTTGACAAGACTGAAACTCTAATTTATTACATGTCTCATAGGTCTCTTCTGGTGATTCTGAAGCCAAACCTCTGATCTTCACATTTGTCCCCACTGTCGGAAGACTACCAACCCACTCTCAGTTGGCTGGCACCTCTAAATTCCTTGTTAAAATTCCTGAGGAACCAAGTGATAAGAATCCAGAAACTGTAAATAGGGTAGGATTATTTTTCTCTTTTTTATGTCAAGCAAATAACATTACATTATCCAAACTAATGTCTTAGAAGTTTGAATGAATGTTTATTTCCTCCGCTTAATGTGAGATGACTAAGAAATCTAAGGTTGACTAAAAATATGTTTATGTAACAGAAACTTAAATGTAATCTAATCCCAGGTTCTCTCTAATACATTATTCTCAACCCTTTTGAGTTGATATGTTATTACTTGCCTCCTGCCACCTCCCCTTCTCTCAAATGTATTTTAAATTATAAAAACAAAATTAAAAAGAAGTTTATATTTATTTTGAAAGAAAATACAAGATAAAACAGTGAGGTGCTACTATTTACATGTTATGATTGGCAACATTAAAAAACTCTAATACCCAATGTTGGGGCCATTGTGGGGATATTCACATGGCTCACATTTTGTTGCTAGTTATGTGAATATGTACAATTTTGGTGGAAAACCTTTATCCACTATCATAAAACTGTTCCTAGCCTTTCAATAACCTGAGTCTTTGAAATGTATCCCCAAAAATAGGACAAAAAAAAGAAAAATGTTATGTAGAAAAATATTTAGTGAAAAATAAAAATAGCATAATACCAGAAAAGTTAAGAATATGATAATACCTCACCTTGACAAACTTATAATTATGATGATTATGTAAATCCATGGAAAATGTTAACCTTATAATATTATGTCACAAAATAGGTTTTAAAATTGCATTTATACCCTGATTATACCTATCTAAAATGCGACCAAGACTGAAAATAAAATTAAGACAAAATGGACAAAAACCTGAAAATGACTTGTATTGTAAAAGTAAATGATATGTGCGTTAAAAAAAAAATCTCCTTAGAATGTGTTTCAATATTGTCTTATTTTAAATAAAATGTGACTGGGGAACTTTGTGGTGTTCTTGAGCCAACTGGAAGGGCATAAAATAATCTGATTTACTTTCTATGAAAACATCTTAGCTAGCAAGTAGTAATATATCTGGGATTCTGGGCATTTCAATGCTATCTTATTTCAAAGACCATTGGGGCCAAATTATTTTAGAAAAATTCTGAATACTGCATAAGGCACTTCTGGGAAGTTTCTAACAGTAGTCAACTACATATAATATATTCATGGGTTCCTTTGTTGTTAGGCACTATGATTATGTGAGACTGTAATATATGAACCAGTTTTGGTTGCAAATCTCCAAAGCTTCCTAGGATGATGATAATCACCTGATGTTTACAATGATACACACAGAACTACATTGTTAAAATGAGATTAAAGTTTTTTCTTTCTATTTTTTAAATAGTTCAGTATTATAATCAAACAGGATAAATAATTCCTCATTTTTCTATATTTCACAACTATTTACTGAGTGTGATACATGCTTGGTGCTGTGTATTCTGAGTGAATCAAGTCAACTCATAACTTATTTGTTATTGGGAATGCAGGCAATGAAAAAACTGAAAAATATATAATAAAGTCTCAAGTAGTGATAAAGGCTGTAAAAATGCTTCAGAGTAAAGGAATAGAGAATGATAGACTTTGGGGGATTGGGCTATTTTAGATCATTAAAAATGTTTTCAAAAACTACTTCATTTTTTGGCCAGTTTTTTAGTTATTCCACTACTTTTCATAATAAGAAATTTATCATTGAATACTTCTATTTTTAATTTAAACTTCCTTCCAATTTTTTTGGGGGGGGAGTTGTTATTATAGAGCATTGTAATTAATATGTGAAGTGACCATTATCGGAGAAATCCTAATCAGAGGCAATTTGTATTTTATCTTGACTATACCAGCATCAGCTGAAAAGTGTGAAATGGGTGTGTAAAGTCAACCCCTTAGCTTAGTTATACCTAATCAATGATTTGACTTCTATTCTGTTTTATACACACAGAACACATACACACATATTATCACACATTATATTGATGACCATAGTTGAAATTATTTCAGTTTAATTAGCATCTTCTTTAACTTCTATTTTGAATAATTTTAAACTTAAATAAAAGATTAAAAGAAGAATATTAACCATAGTATGGTTATCAAAACCAAGAAAATTGGGTCTTTTAAATACAATCTTAGCATACACAACTACTATCATTTTAGAACAAAGTGTTTTGGTAGTATGGTAAAGCCGTCTTACATTTGGTCTTATGAGCCTTCTATATATTTATAGAAAATTGAATGGGAAAAGATATAGAATTACAAATCCAAAATAAAATAACAATAAAAAATACTTTGTACTGAAAATATCTTTTTTGGGTGTCCTATTCACAAGTTCTTCCCTATTAGCTTAGATTGTTTTGTCTGAATGTCTGTGAATTTTGTTCCAATTTAAATTTTCCTCTCAGATTTTTAGAGAGATTTATATTATTTTAGAACGTTTCAGTGGGATTTCCTCTCTCCCCCATTTATACAGACTATACAGGTTTTGCTTGACCATTAGCTAAACCCTGTACCAGTCTCCCTTTGTTTCATGAATGTCTTCATGGAAAACATTACCCTCTTCATCTCTTTTTACAAAGTCATCTCGTGATTTATTTGAAAGCAGGCTTGTTTGTTGATGTTGATTCTGAGGCCTTCAGTGTTTGAGTTTGGACTAGGACAAATAGGTGGGCTAGAAAAATTAAACTAACTTCAACCTAATCTTTCTTCAGCTAACCTGATTTTAAAATTAAACTGCTAACTTCAACCTAATCTTTCTTCAGCTAACCTGATTTTTAAATATATTTTTAGAAATTCTTGCCTTTAAGCAGGCTATGCTTTTAAGTGTACATGCAAAAAAGTAGCATGTATCAAACTGATGTCAATGCTTTTATTTATTGCAGTCTAATTTCAGTGAGTACTTGACCTTGAAAGCTGGGAGCCAACAGCAGAGAGACGGAGGGTCATTGACTTATCCTTCAGAGGTCAGCGGAAAGATAGCACAAGTAAGGGAATTTAAAGTGAACGAACCCCAAGGAATGCAGCAAAGTGGCCTCTTCAAAGCTGAATATGTCTTTATTGTGGACTCTGAAGGGGAAGATGAAGCTACAAGCAGAAAAGTTGAACAAAGCCCCCCAGGGGGGATGGGCACCACAGCTAGTCGGCCTACATCTCTAGCAATCTCCTCCAGTCTGGTCTCTGATGTGGTGCGTCCCAAAACAAGGGCAACAAATCTCCAGGCCCCATCACACCCTGAAATGCCTCATGGGATGGCTTCTCAACAAAAGCATGGGCAGGTAGGTTTTTCTTCTTATAAGAAAAAAATATTGTTTATATACCCTTTGTTCTAGACTGTTCCCTGGTCAAGGCATAAAATGCTCTTAAAGAAAAAGATATTATAAAACCAAAATCTCATGATCAGAAATCATCAAGGTGTAAATATAGGCAGTAAATTTATAAGACATAAAAGATTATACAATCGTACTGTGAATTGGCTGAGGAGAAAATGTGAAACCTTTAGTTGGAGTGGATTTCAGGAAACACTACCTCTTCCTTTTGAACAATTCTTGGGAAGGTTGATAATGGGAGTTTCTTAGGAGAGAGTGCTTGGTGAGCTGGATACTTCAAGGCACATTGAAAATATGAGAAGCATCCAATGAGAAGACACCAGTTGGATTTTAGATATAAACATGTTGCTTTCAAACTAGGAAAAGAGTAGTAAAGGGTACAGTAGGAAATAAAAGTATATAAGGAAAATAATTTCCCCCTGTATGCCGTAAGGGAAATATCCTGGAAGCCACCAGGGTGGGACTGGCCTCAATAAAATGGGGAGAAGATCCCATCCCATAATTTAGCAGCAAGATTGAATGATTTCTTTAAGGTGGACAGAAAGCCTTTGGTATAGTAGAAGACTGATGTCTGTGATGGCAAAAAAAATATCAAGGAAAGAAAGGGAGGGATTTTGAAGGAAGATTTTGCCATTGACTGTCTATTTGTTGTAATAAAATTATTAGATGACTTTAACAAAGTGTAGGTAGAATGTCAGGAAAGCAGAGGCTGGCTTTGGAGTAAATAGTGAATGGAGAGTTGCCCTTGACAGTGAGCGTGGGTGAGTACCAAGATGTCCTGCTTAGGAGCTACCAGACCAGGTATTTGCAAGCATCCCAAAGTAGTTGGGTGAACATTATTGATGAACTGGACTTTTGGTTGGACTTTTGGATCTATGCAAAACCGTAGAGTAGGCATCTTATTTTTGGTGCCACCCTATCTTTATTTCTGTGCTTTCACTTGCTTCCTGATGCTGTATTTATATCTCCATCGAGCATCCAGTATCAGTATGCTATCTTTTGGTGATAGAAGACTCTTTCTGGGCTATCTCTACCCAGGATGACTGGACTAAAAAAAAAAAAATTATTTCTTCTTGAAGTTTGTTCTCAGCTAGTTATTGGAAATATTCTAATCACACAATTAAACATATTCTCAGTAAGTGGTGATAGGCGTAAATATTTTTTTTTAACTCAGGGAAGATGATGGAATAACCAAGTAGGAGATGTGAGGGTTTCCATAGTCAGTAGAGAGTAGTTTGATGGGGCCCCTTTGAAAAAGAACATGCAGGTGTGATGATACCAGATATAAATAAAGAAAAATATTCTTAATGAACAATGTTTAGCAATTTTTAAAATTTACTCTTTTTTCCCAGTTGATATATTTCTTCCCAAATTGGTCATTTATTTTGTTTTCGTGTGACTAAATATGTAGAGGTCAAAGTGGATACTAAACACACACTTTGGAAACTTTTTCCAGCATAGGTTACTTCAGAGGTCATAGTTCATGTTATCAGAGCTCCATCGGAAAGGCAAAGCTCAACCTTATTCATTAGCGGTGGCTGAAAATGATGGTTACCACTAATGGAGGAGTTCTGAATCCTGAAATGTTTGGGAATAGCCGTTGTTCCTGTTTCCATTTTCCTTAATAATTCATTTTAGTGGTGAATAGTAGATAATCATGAAATTAAAAAAGATGAATTAAAAACAAGAGGACTGTCACTCACAAATTTAAACTAAAGAAAAATGACCAGAGCATGAAAGAAGACACTCCAAAATAAATTTGATGCAGTCAGTAGTAGAAGTTTAATGTAAAAATTCTAAAAACTATCCTGTGATTGGATTACTTGATGCCAACAATAGCAATTTTTCAATCAGAAATGCAGTTAAGTGATTTTCTGTTCAACCTGGTGAAAATGAATCCATATATAGGATTGTCTATAAATTAGCACTATTAGTCATAAGTATTTATTAGGCTATTCCTAAAAAAATGTCTTTAGTTATTTTTTTTGGAATTTAAGCTTTTCATAACCTAACCTACATGTCATTTTCTACTCACATCTTGTACCTCTCTTCTTCAGTTCTCCCAAGTTATCACCAATGTTCACACTTCACACCTTTTCATCCCTGAGCCCTTGATTTCTCTGTGTGTGATGCTTCTTTCTTCCCCAGACCCAAGGCCTTTTTGGCCCAGGCTACTTGACACTGTAAGTGCAGCTCAAGTAGCACCTTACCCTACACATTCCCTTTGAAGGTGGGTTAGTTTTGCTTTTTCATATTTGTTGGGTATTTTTTTTTATAGTTTTGTAGCCTCTTCAATGCTTATAATAATTGATTTTATCTTTCTTCCTCACTAGACTGAGAATAACTTGAAGTCAAAGTCTATCTCCTGTTTATTTCTGTATCCATAGCACAGAGTGTAGTGTCTTGAACATAGGTGAAATTCAATAAGGTGTATGAAAAGAAAAATATTTGGAAGTTTACATCTTTGAAGTTTTTTTCTCAGATATTGACCCCTTCATGAAGTCTGCTTTGGTTCTTTCAGTGAAAGCAAACTCTCCCTCAATTTAATTCTGATAACCTTTTCCCCTGAACATTTTTTATTACAATTATCCTATTACAGCATGTATTATAACTATGTAGATTTGTGCCTCATCTTCCCTAGCAGACTGTAAATTCTTTATAGGCAAAGACCCTGTTAAAATCATTTCTATTAAACATTTTGTTCCCTATAGTAGTTACTGTGTTATCTTGAACATAGTCAGTATAAATATTGGGTTGAGTTTATTGTTGTTTGAAGTATTTTTGTTGTAGTGGCATATAGAATGTCAATTTTAAAGTGTAAGTAAAAAGTAAAAATGCTATGTAAGCAGTTGAATTAAAATCCTCATAAATAAAATTCACAAAAAAGTATTGTTTTTGAATGTTGGTGTAAAGGTGTAAGAATTGTCTTACCTAGGGATAGTATTAGCATTCAAAGGGAGGTAATATACACATACAAACACGGAGTGATTTGTCTGAAAGGCCTATGATAAAATCTGGGTTTAGGCAATGATAGTGTGAATAAAAAGACAAACTTATGGGGTAGAGTTAATTGGATTGTTTTATTAGAAAAAGTAACAATGTATGAATTTATAACTAAGGAAATTAGATAAATGTTGGATTAACTGGGGAAAGAATAACAGGTATTGGGAAGGGATAGGAAGAGGTAAGATGTATCAAGGGTAGCTTGAGATGCCTTGGAAGCATGGCATGATGATATCTAAAAGGAAGGGAGGAGTATGAATATGGAACACAGGAGAGAGCTGGGAGACTGGAGATACTTGCTGCATAAATTAAAACAATGAGAATGGAGATTATATATATATATTTATTCTTTCCTGGAGAGAATATAGAACAAAAAGACATAAGATACAAGTCAGGAAACAGTAAAATATAAAGAGCCTGTGGAATTAAGGAAGCCACTGAAAGAGGCTGAGAAGGGACCAAAGAAGCTGGAGAGAGGGGTTCATGCAATGGAAGCTAAAGGGGCTTCCAACAAAAAGAGTGGAATATGAACAAGGTCATATACCTAAATATGTAATATTTAGTTAAATTTATTGATTTTTTAAAGGTAGCTCAGTAATTTTTTTATAGAATTCAAATGAATATGATATCAATCATATCACCTTGGGAAAGCAAAATAATAATCCTATATAATAAAAGCCTAATATGCAAATCGACCAAACAAGCAAATGACTAGTGGAACTACTGGTCGCTATGACATGCACTGACCACCAGGGTGAAGATGCTCAATGCAGGAGCTGCCCCCAGCCCACAGGCCACAGACCAGCTAGGGCAGGTGCCAGCAGGGGCCCCCTGATAGCCCCGCCGGTGGCCCCACAGATCAGCCCTAATTGCTGGCCAGGCCTAGGGACCCTACCCATGCACAAATTTCGTGCAATGGGCCTCTAGTAATATAATAATAAATAATAACTTTATGACAATGTGACATAATTTGAGTACTGACCTAGGTTTATCAAGCAGGAAGCATAATAGTTCTCCAATTTTTATCCTGAGAGACCTCATGCAGAATGAAGCTTTCCTTTACAACATTGTACTTTCATATTTTCTATTTGCCTTGCCAGATATTTTTAATGTACATTAGCAAGTACTTTTGCCAGTGGGACAGCCAGGTTAATATATGCTGCTGCTTAATTAGGGAAGAAGGGCAGGTTGGGAGATTCAAGAGGCCCTGATCAAAGCCAAAGGAAGGATCAAAGGCCTTTTGCTGACATAGCTGGATGATATGAAACATGAGGGCAACCTCTCTCCTCAGTATTAGCAGAACCAGAAGATGTGTAGAGATGAGGCCAGGGGTGTGAGGTCTGACCTGGCCATAGTCTCAATTTGGAATGTGGGAGCCCTTTTGCTCTCCCGGGTGAGCCCCTAGAGCCTTGTCTGCCATTACCCACTTGGAGCCACACCTCCTCTGTGCTCTCTCTTACTCTGGGAGAGGCAGGATGAGGTTCCCTAACATCTGACCAGTTCAGCTACAGAAGAGGCACTTGGTGCCCTTTATTAAAACATTA